CGAGGCGGCCCGCAGGGAGATGCTGGAGGTGCTGCCGCTGCCCGCCGAGCAGCTGCTCCAGGAGCACCGCCGGGCCTGGGCCGAGCCCTTCATCTCAGGTGCGCCCCGGGGGCGCCGTCGGGGGGTCTCGGAAGCGCAGGTTTGGGGGCCTGGCCGCTGGAGTGCCACCGCGATGGGCATCCTGGAGCTGGGCGGCCCCGCAAGCCTGCCCGGGGCTGAAGATGCTCCGCACAGCTTGCCCGTAATGGGCGCGAGGTCAGCTTTGCAGTGCCCTGGGGAGGTGGCCCTAGAAACGTAAATTTGGGTGCTTGGCCCCAGCCAGGCCGCTGGAGTGCCACGAAGATGGGTGTCTTGGAGCTGGGCAGGTATCCCCAGACCTGGGGGCTTGGCTGCTAGAGTGCCACCGAGATGGGCATCCTGGAGCTGGGCGGCCCCGCAAGCCTGCCCGGGGCTGAAGATGCTCCGCACAGCTTGCCCGTAATGGGCGCGAGGTCAGCTTTGTCAGTGACGCCTCTCTGTTCCTTCGAGGGGCTTCTTGGCACGCAAGATTTAGGAAGCCCGCAAAAATCACCAAGCCCGCCTGCGTTGGTACGGAAGCAGCGGTGGCTGGCGGGTGGAGAACAGATTTTTATTCCTGAGGATAGAAATCTTAGCATTTTTTCCCGAAGTATTCTCTGGGCATCTTCCACTCGCGTTCCCAGCAATCTGTACAAACCGAGAAACTCCCCCTGTTCGGGAAGGAAGGGCGAATTCAGATGCGTGCCTGTCCGGTGCAAGAATGTAGAAATAGCCTTGGCTGGGACAGACTTTTTTATAGTCAGTATTATTCATGTAGCAGTACGATGATGGCCATAAAGGCCTGACCCAGCCTGTTAGGACAGGAGTATTTCCCAGTTTGTACAGATCGCATGAAGGTTTCTCACGTCTTGGAGAAGTAGGGGGAAAGCAGAGAAGCTCCTTCCTTTGTAACGGCACATGAGAATTTAATTGTGGGCTTCCCAGCTTCCTAACCTGATGACGGGGTGATGTGTCTGTCACCCCATAGAAAGACAGAGCTGACCGCAGGAAAAGCACTGAGCAATCCCTTTGCTTTCCAGGTGTAGAAATGCGGAAGATCACCGACGCTCACACTCCCTCCAGCGACACCGTCAACATGACCCTCTACTATGTCCTGTCGACCACCCCGGCGCCCCTCCTGGACCCCCACATCAGCCCTGAGGAGAAGGAGAAGATGGAAGCCGCTTTGAACTATGCGGACCACTGCTTCAGCGGCTACGCCACCATGCACGCCGAGAATCTGTGGCCGGGACAGTTGTCGACCGTCCTGCAGGTCCTGCAGCTCGCGAACCTGTGGAAGCTGACGCTCCAGAAACGAGGCTGCAAGGGGCTGGTGGCAGCCGGGGCCCACGGGCTCATGCAAGGCATGGTGCTGAGCTTCGGCGGGCTGCAGTTCACCGAGAACCACCTGCAGTTCCAGTCCGACCCGGAGGTCCTGCAGAACAGCTATTCCTTGCGGGGGATCCATTACAACAAGGACTTGATCAACCTGGCCGTGCTGCTGGATGCCGAGGGGAAACCCTTCCTGCACGTCTCCGTGAAGTTCCAGGACAAGCCGGTGAAGCTGTACGCCTGCGAGGGGGGCTGCTCCAACGATCCCGTGGAGCTGACGTCCGAGCTGCACGGCCACACGTTTCCCGTCATGGTGACGCAGCCCATCACGCCGCTGCTGTACATCTCCACCGACCTCGTCCACCTGCAAGATCTGCGCCACACGCTGCACCTCAAGGCCATCCTGGCCCATGAAGAGCACATGGCCAAACAGTATCCGGGCCTTCCCTTCCTGTTCTGGTTCAGCGTGGCCTCCCTCATCACTCTGTTCCACTTGTTCCTCTTCAAGCTCATTTACAACGAGTACTGCGGGCCGGGGGCCAAGCCGCTCTTCCGGAGCAAGGTATAGAACGTCGGCCGAGCTCGGCTCGACGGCCTGACCGGCTGAACCGAACCCGGATTTCCGGGGCTCGGATCCTTCTCCCTGACATCACCCTGGACGCAGGGAACCCATAGTTGCTCAGAACAGCCTCTGAATAAGCAGCCTTTGCACGTTTGCCTTTCTAGAAGATGTGATCTCAGCGGGGAGGCTGATAAAGCGAGGCTGGTCAATAATAAACACTCTGTTGGTTCTCCTGCCAGATTATTCAGGGTTAGCCCCTTTTCTGTAGCTGTGGTCATCTCAGTTCTGTCTGAGTGCTGTTCAAAAAAGAATTCACCGGCAGTGTGACGGGGGAGCGTGGCACCTGGGTTCCAAGGCTGACGAGAGGCGTGGTAAATAAGCGAGTATCAAGGGCCCTCACTGGGTTAACTTGCCCTGCAAGAACCAGGATGAAGGACGGATGCTCCTTGGGGGCAGAAAGGCTTGTCATGAATGCCCTTACTCCCCCAAAAATGCAGTGTATGGTGGAGCAAAAGCCAACCGTTCTTACCTGGCTTCTCTCCCCAATACACCCAGGCCTAGCCGTTCAGCCGAAGAGCAGAGACTGAAGCGGAAAGGTTACCCAGCGTAGCCGAGATTGACGTTGGCACAGAACTCTGGGGCTTGCGTCAGGTGGGAATGGCGCCTCATCTGACCCAAAAACCAGATTTCAGTGTCAAAACAGGGCAGGGGTGCAGCTGGAACTGCTGTGCGCCAAAAACATCAAAAAAGTCTTTGAACAATTGTTTAGGAGATGTAATGGGGAGAGATGTGGAAAGAGGTCCCTCACATAATACGTGCATATTGCTGGGATCCATTTTTCTCACTCCCTTCTGCCTCTTCCTCCTCTTGGGGTTGGTGCCTCAGCTATTCAGACAAGTCTTTTTTTTTTTTAAGAGTGATTGACAGGCTACCCAGCCCCTCTTGAAAAGTCCCAGTCCCTGCCAATGTCCAAAAAAACATAACCACCCTGGCAGAGATTTATTGGAACTGAGCACAGGGCCTTTTCTTTCTCTCTCTCTCCCTTTAAAAGTCTGCATTCCAAAACTTTCCCTGGAGCTTAAGAGCAATTTGCTATCATTAAAGCAGTTAAAAAGAGAGGCTGCCTGCGGGGTGGGGTGGGGGGGCTCCGTGTGTATACAGGTGCATTTTTCAAAGACAGCCTTGTGAAAACAACAGGAAGATGAATAGTCCAGAAAAACACCTTGGGCTCAAAAGCATCATTGCTCTTTGAGCAAATGAATGACTGAGTCTTGGGTCTTCTGTCTAAGGAGCTCAGCCCGAGACGAGCCCCCCGCTAGAGAGGGGAAGGGCCCCTAAAACAGCTTCACCTTCGGGGCCCTCCTGCAAAGGAGGTGCAAACAGGACACAACCCCCTGGGTGTCCTTGCTGTGTCTCTACCCCCCCCCCCCCAGGCCCTTTCGCTTCTTAGTTCTGTTGGCTTTCCTTACTCTTCGATAAAAAATACTTGAAAATGTGCATTAAGATTTTTTTATTTTGACGGCAAGTAATAAGACATTTAATCAGCACCCCTTTCGTTGGAACGTTCTTGCTTCTCACACTCAGCTGAAAATGGAGAATTTCTCTTTCCCCTCCCCAAACTGAATGCTGTCTCATTCCTTTGGGTGGACTTTAACTTATTGTTGGTGGGTTTCAGACGTCCATTTCTAACCGCGGTGTTTCGGACTGAATCACAGCCAGTTAAGAACATAGGGGTACGCATTAATCTCATGCTTTAATCTAGCACGGATAACAGGAATTCTCAGTCTTTCTCTGAGGGCAGCGTACAAAAGAGACCACCTTAATGACATTTCCTGGGGGGGGGGCAGAGGGCGTTGATTTACTCTTCCAACAAGCCTGTTGCTGTGTCCTGTTTTTTGAATTAGAGGGAGACTTACAAATTCTTCTGGTGATTTGAACACAATTGTTGTGATTCTTTTAAGATACCAAAGGTTCTGGGTTTGGGTTTTTTTTTTAAGAAATAAAAACCTTTCGAATCTGTACCTAATGGCTCTAATGGGTTTGTTCTTTCTTAAGCCCTGGTTTTGCTCTCTACCTGATTTATCTTGCCTGTAAAAAAAGAAAAGAAAACTGGGTTCACAGGACACAGATAGCCTAAGACAGCTAAGAAAAAAATATCACAGCTAACCTTGCCTTTCATTCCCATGGACAGACTTCAGACTTAAATCGTTTCATTCTCGAAGAACAACCGTCCCCAGATAATCTCCTTTGAATTGCAAAGGGTTTCCATATCTCCCATGAATTCACTGCTAACCCCCCTGCCCGGCAACTCCACACCCTAAATGCTTGTTCTGCTTTTTTTAATTTTCGGAGGCCATGTTAGTCCTAGTCTTCAAAGTACCCTAATTTTTTTTTTTTTCCTACGTAACTCAAAGACCTGGAAACTCAGAATGGGCAGGGAAGGGTTCAACAGATGTGTTAATGGTCTGCGCCATCCCCTCTTCCCAGCTGATCGACTGTTGCTTCCCACCGTCCAACCCCCTTGCCTTGCCCCAAAGGGTGGGCTGCTGGAGACCCTGAGGCCATGTCGGGGACAGAAAACCTGCGTTACCTTACTCCCTCGTCGTCCTACAAGGGGAAACCGGACTCGAACAAAGAGGAAGGCAAGAGTGGGAACCCAAAACCACTTAACTCTTGGAGGAGCTTCCTAGCTTGCAGGTAAGTCAGGGAGATGGCGAAGCCGACGACAAAACTCTGAATTTCTACAGAAGACAGCGCGGTGGACCCTTTAGGGGAAAATACTTTGCACAAACCTGAGGCTAATTTCGTTTTCTTACAAGCCCCCACCCGCGGAAGGAACAGGAGTAGCCTAATACCCGTGCCATTTTTAATTGTGTATTTCTAAAAAAAAATCATGATTCGGGAATTTTGTCCTAGTTCAGGATCAAGGAAGCATCTTCAGTCTGAATTACTTGGTCTCAGATCAGTGTTTGCCCAAGAGGAGGTCTGTTAGGTCTTGGATGGGGTGTTTAACTGTGACCAAGATTCCAACAAATCTAATTTAATAATTCACTGGTCAAGCGACTTAAGAAGACAATTGAACAATTGATTCTGATGAAGCAGAGGGACTTTTAGAAAGGAAGTGTGTAAATATATCACAACTGGCCTTTTTTACACACAATAATGGTTTGTTTTTTTAAAGTTGGTAAGAACTGGATTTTTGGTTGGTCTGAAATTCAAACAATATAAAAAAGACTGTCTACAAATTTTGCAGCCTTGCAGCCATCAAATTCTCCACTTCAGCTGCATTTATTCTAGCTACTCTGCTAATGGTCGTCATCCACCCACCTCGTTTTTAGCCACCTTTTGCGACCCAAGCTTCTATCTTTCTTTCACACTACCGAATACAAGCCATTTTCTAACCTCCATCGTGGGGCAAGTCCCGAACGGACGCGCTGCTAATTCAGAAAAAAAAATAGAATAGCTATTTCCTGGCTCCTCTTCCTATAATTACAAAATAAAACAACAGTGATTTCACATTATTCAAAGCTATCTATCGTTCTCCGGAGGAAGGGAGACCGTCCTGACCAACCAGTTTTAAATCAGGGCGTGTATTAGCCTAAAGCCAATTTTTGAGTATTGTAGAAAAACGTAAAAAAGAACTCCTCCGCTGCTAAGAAGGAGTATGACCCTAGACATGTATTTTTCCTTTAGGTGCCCACAATTAGAAAATGTTCTGCGTATCACTCATATCGGCGTAGTACTTATTTAGTATGCCAAAGATTAGTCATCTTTGTCTGGAGTATCAAAGATGGCTGAAAACACCGATCAACCAGGGAAACATTATTCTACAGCGCTGTCAAAATATAAGGAGGATCCGTCTAACCGCAGAAGGAAGAACACGGGCAACGTATTTACTTAACTGATTTCCTTCGCCTTCCTCCAGATGTTCTTCCCCCCCGTCGGACTGCCATGCCAGCAAGACAGTGAGACGGATCTCGACCATTTGCTTGATCTCCTTGATCACCTTGCTGGGAAACACCGCTCTGGATTTAAGCCAAACTCTGGAGTCCTGGAGGCATATCGAGAAGGCCCTCGGCAACGTCTCTTCGTGCCGGGGCTTCCTGGCCCTCTCGCTGTTCAACCTCCTGGTCCAAGAAGGGGATTGGCAAGAAGGAGGAGGAGGAGATATGGTGGAGAAC